AATAGTTCATAGTGAAATTTATATAAATAAAGTGGTTAATAAATTATAAAACAGAGAAATTTAATTAAAAACAAAGAATTAAAAAAGAAATTTTGATAAATTATGAAAAAATAAAACATAACGAGAACATATAGAAAAAAATAAATAAAAGAAAATAATAAAAAGAAAAATAACGTGTTTAAAATGAAAAATAAAAAAGTTTAAACCAAAAGAAATAAAAAAAATTCAAAATAAAAAAAATTCAAAATAAAAAAAATTAAACAATTAAAAAAAATTATTAAATAATTTAAACTTATTTGGTGGGATACGAGTTCAACTCTCGGTACTAGCAGCCTCAAAATATTATTTACGAATAATTAAATATAAGAAATGATTTCAAAACTCCTGATAGTGGGAATTTGGCAATAATAGAAACAGCTAAAGATTTATTTAATTAAAATAAATTACTTAAGGTAAAAAATAAAATAAAAATTATTGTAACCAGTTAAAAAAAATATATAAATATAATTAAAAGCATTAGAAATTGGAAAAAAAATTTAAGTAGTTAAGACGAAAATAACAATAACATAAAAAGAGTTGAATGTATCAAAAATACAAAAAAAAAAACGGAATAAGAAAAAATTTAAAAATATATATAATTATTTTTCTTTGTTTTTTCAGATATATATAGAATTGATATAAATTTTTGGGCACTAATTTCCAAAGCTGTGTTAAAAATCTTTCTTAAAAATACAAATATATAAAGAATTAATAAAAAAAAATTTATAATATTATACTTTTGTATAAGATATTTAATATTATTAATTTAAAGTAAGAAACGCAAATGTTTCTTACAGTTAAGATACAAAACTTGCACTTCTGTTTGTTACCAATTCTATAAATTCTCACTGTTCTATAAATGTCTTTCTTAAGACTCCAATTATCCAATTATCCTTACTAGATACGACACGATTTCCAGTGCGCTTTAAATGTCTTTCGTAAAACTCTGTCGGCACTGTCTAATAATAAGTCAATAATTTTACTACTCTTAGTATATGTACTGTGAAATATTGGTGGCTCGGATTTAAAAGAAAATAGACGGTATCATTACAAATACCTATTTTCAAAAAAACTTGACTTAGAAATCAATCCTATACTTTTATTAGTAAGCTTCTATAATATAATTTCGAAAATGACTTTTATTTTTTTTTTGTTTAAGGGATTTTAAATTATCACTTCGTTACTAATATTAATATATTTTTTTATGAAAAAATAATTTAATTTTAATTATTTAATTGCAAATATAACACTACAAAAAAATAAAACGAATCAGTGGAATTAATAGTACACTTACCGTCTGAGTTTTAAAAATCACACAAAAAATATATGATTAATATTTTTGATATTAAATAAAAAGCAATTTAAAAGCTGCCTTAATTCATGTTTATAGGTATATGTGTATAATTTTAAGTATTTTTTTTTTTTAAATTCAAACACTTAATTTAAGTAAGAAAATTTTATTTATTTATTCTGCAAATATTCAGGCTCTTTGTTTGTTTAACAATTTTGTTTAACTTCCTTTTATTCACATAAGTCATAAAATTTCTTTTTAAAAAACTTAAAACAAATTTTTCACTCAATTAACGCACTATGGAACAAATTTCTTTGATATTTAATATATGCACTTTTCTGATATATAAATTGATTCAAAAAGTCGTTTTATATTCGCACGGTCTTAAATAAAACAGCAGTATTTTTGCATTAGGGCTAGCACATCGCACTAGAAACACTAACTAGCGTAGTTGTTATCCTTTTAACGGCAAGAAAAAAAATATCCCAACGCGTCTCGAACTACAGGTTATCACGATCCCGACACAAGTATTGCTCAATAGCCCTATGCGGCAGATTCTTATATACCCTCGTGTATTGTTCTTAGTGTTGCCGTATTTTGTACTTTACAGCGGCGCTGCCTCAGCCCAACTTAAAAAGCGACTCACTCCACCGTTCTGTCTGTGCACACTTTGGCAAAGTTATGTTATGTTCTGTGTGGTTCGATTTAATTTTTGTACTGATTGCGTTGATGATGTTTATGATTACGACAACGTCTCTGACTGTAAGTTCTGACTGTAATGTAAGCAAAAGCAACGACAGTAACAGCGGCAGTGTTAGCGGCTACGCTAGCAGCAGTGAATTCAATTTGCAAACATCCCAGTGATGTCGCTTATGTACGCAAAGAATTTCGCCATATAAACATACACCGGCTACTTGCTCATTTCGCTGCAGCGCACCTTGCTACTGCGCTGCTGGTGCTGTCCAAGCTTCCACCTCTGCTTCTGCTGCTGTTACTGCTTCTACATTTGTGGTTCGTATTGTTGCTGCTGTAATGAAAGCTCAAGAAAAAATTGTTGTAATGTCTGCAGTGCTTTTTTTCTTCGCTGCTTTGTGTGTTTTGTTCTTTGCCGATTTTGGCCAATTTCTGCTTTGGTTCTTCACCGTATTTACCATTTAAGTTTTTTTGCTCATTCTTAACTCTTATTGTTATTGTTGTTTTGTAGTTTGTGCTTTCCTTGTGATCGCATTCTTGCTGTTGTTTGTATTGTTCCATGTATTGTTGTTGTTGGTTTTTGTTTTTAGCCCAAAGCCGTTCTTGATGAGTATTTTTTTGTTGTTCAGTTACTCGCGTTGCTAACCAATGACGATTGGTTGGCGATTTTTCTCACCAGGTGCTCTAATGTATGCGAAATACTTTAAGCATTTTTTGACAGTCTCGTCCGTTTCTGTGTGAGAATTTCTTTCTTGGGGTTTCCCTGTGGGCGGCTTTTGAGTTTGAGTAGAACTTGAAGACAGTCTTTCTCTCTCTTGATTTATAGCTTGTTTTACTTATTTTATTGATATTGTGCTTTATAAGGTGCAATACGTTTGAGAATCAGTTTTCAGTAGTTTATCTTCGAAAATCCAGATAAGTTTGTTAATTCGCTGCAGAAAGCAGGTGAAGTGAATCATTCTCCAAAAATTTAATTAATGTATGAAAGCATTAAAGATACTTTTAAGCGGTTTTTGGAGTAGCGTTACATGTACAATTTTACGTATATTGATTTATCAGTCTTTGTTTGGTGTAAATGCATATTGTATATGTTTAATTTAATTCAGGATTATCTTACTTTGATTAATTTAGTGAGTTAAGCGAAGGGGCCATTACGCGAAGAGGAGTTCAATGATCTAATAATAGTCGCCATGCCTTATAAAGAAAAGTGTCATAAAATTTATAGCTTAAATACAATTTAATCATTGATATGGTCTTAAAAGGCATAAAAAACGTTTGAAGATAGGCCGATGATGGAAATAATCAATTAAAAAATGCATTGGTGAATAGATTTAGCAAATTAAAATTCTTTTTTTAGTGGTAGTGGGCTAACATTTATTATTAATTTAATTAATTTTGAGCTCTTTTATGTGAAGAAGGTAATATAAATATTGACTAAGAGATTTCATAAATGATACAAACAAATTTATTGTCTCCGCTTTAAGAATATATGAAGAGTTGAACATGTAAGAACCTAAGAAACCTACACAACAAAACCGCATTTTGTACAAATAAAATTTAATTTAAACCGTACTTTGAAGAAATAAAATTTATTTTAAGGTCGGTTATTTAACAACTCAAATTATAATTCAGTAACTTATTATTAAGCTTAAATTTTTGTTCCTATTTTAAGGAAATATTTTAGTACAAATATTTTGGACTACTTCGTTTTTTAATAATTTCACTATATTCATTAATGTTTTTGTTATAATTATTTAGGTATGTCTACTTATTTCAGTTAATTAGAATTTAATTTTTAATAAATTTTTTAATTTATACACTGGAGTTTAATTTATACTTTCTCCAGTAATTTATTTGAAAGCATATATTTTACAGCTTCAAACAAAAATGCTACCATGAGCATACATTTATGGTGCCTTTGGACTTTGTGATTATAACAAAGATTTTGATTATAACACAGTTCTCCAAATTATTTTGCTCTACGACCTGACCCAAACATTTTCTTAAGCCTATGTTGTTTGCACAACATATATTACCAATTTTAAAAGATAGATTCAGTTGCTTAGAAAGTCAAAACAGGATAGTTTTAGAGCAGTATACATTTCTACTTAGTCTATTGTAAATAGAAGGGATTAAAAAGCTAGGTTTAATAGAAGAGGCGCCAAGTCTATCTAACTCTTCTACACGCTCATTCCTGCTGTATTAGAATTGTAATCCAAATTAAAGTTTTTTTGGAGTTATTGCTAAGCTATCGATATGGTATATTTTGAACTAGCATTTTTAAGTAGAAAAAATAGTTAATTTAGGCCATTTCTTATAATAAAACAGTGTTTTATTTAAGATCTGACTTGCACCGCAACAGGGTCCTCAATACGTTTCTACCTAAAATCTATTAAAATGAAATACTATACCAACTTAATATAAGGTGGGATGTAGGATACGTGTTTGGTTAATAGACACGTATAAGCACTTCTAATAATAATAGATTAATCTTTATTATTTATGTTGAAAACTCTTTCTTCACTAGACTCTGAATTTTCTATAATATATTATATAGGGTACAGCATTGTTAAAACGCTATATAAGGCATGTTATTTTTTTTTTAACTAATAAGGCCTACAGACAATCACTTGTCAGTGAATATTATTTTTGAAGTTTCAGAACTGGAGGTACTACAAAGACCTTTTATTATAGGTATATGTTTATATTGCAAAGTTTAAAGATAATTCGATATCTAAGATATCTAAAATAAAATAAATAAAAGATTTTCGGGCCGGAACTTTTGTACAAGAGTAAATTATGGCACCGATATATATTATAGTTACAGTATAGGTAATGTTAGTTTGCTAGTGATATGTTCTTTGATTATTTATTGATCAACTAATTTTTTGACTGTAAGTAAATAAGTAAAACTTCATCTTAAAACCTTTAATTTATTTATTTAGAATAATTTTTGCAAAAATTTTGATGCAGTTGACAAAAATTTTTTGTTAGAAAATATAATAAAGAAAAGGATTATAGAATTTTTTTAATTTATGATTAAATATGAATACATGATCTCTTTATTAGTGATACTTACTATTCTATTGTAGTGCTTCAAAGCAGTTGTTCAAGCTGAAAAGTAGGAATACCTATAAAAGGGGATAAAATTAATTTGTTTGTAATTAACCGGGCACTTAATTTAGTATTAATAAAACATCAAATTTTTTGTATTTAAATTCAAAAAGAGATTTAAAATGTTTCTTACCATATCGCGGCCATGGTATCTTGATAGTACTGCTGACACGACGACGTTTTAGGCTATTTGCCAAACTTAGGTTTTCAGATTTGTTATCACTTAGACAATCAACTCTGACTGCATTGAAATCTTCAGTGCAATGATGACGCTTAAATCCTCTTTTTAAGACCCTCTCTTTATTTTTCTGTGGTGAATTTTTCATGTCATCTTTCTTTTTAACCCCTTTTGGATTTTCGAATTTTTGAACTTCAAAATCTGTTTTTTTACCCTTCGGCGTCGCTTTTGGACCTTTGCGTTCATAAGCACGTCGAGGTGTCGTAGCAATATTATTATCTTTTCGATTTTGAATAGTATCTTTAGCTTTACAAGCTTTATTCAGTTTAATTAAAAATTCCTTGTAATCTTTGAGTTCATATAGCGTTCGCTCGTTGGGAGCATTAAAGAAATTCTTAGTAGTTTCACCAATTTCTTTAAGGGCCTTAGCAAGTGAAGGTCTTGTAATGAATTCGCGATTATTGACACCTTTCAGATTCTTACGTGCGAATAGTGGTAACTTTCTTTTCCCTTTCTTTTTGAAAAATTTTGCCTTAATCTTCTTATTCTTAGATTTACGTATCTTATCATGCCTGTTGATGATATTCAATGAATCATGATAAGGAACTATTCCCAATTCATCATTAACTTTAAATCTGTTGACACTTTTTGTTTTATTTCGCGTGAAAATTGATCTCTTCTCTGCGTTTTTCTTTCTGTTTGCTAAGGACTTCTTTTCAATGCTTTTAAGTTTATTACTCCGTTTAGTAATTTTGGGAGAATTGAATTTGTCATCTGGTAGTGACTTCTTGTCACTTGTTTTCTTTTTGTTTGCTAAGGATTTTTTTTCCGTGCTTTTAGGTTTAATGCTTCGTTTACTAACTTTAGCAGAATCGAATTCTCCATTTGGCAGTGACTTCTTCTCACTGTTATTCTTTCTATTCGCTAATAATTTTTTTTCCGTGCTTTTAGGTTTATTGCTCCGTTTACTAATTTTGGAAGAATCAAATTTACCACCTGTCAGTGACTTCTTTTCTTTGCTCTTCTTCCTATTTGCTAATATTTTCTTTTCCGTGTTTTCAGGTTTAACGCTCTGTTTAGTATTGTTGGAAGACTCGAATTTACTATTTGGCAGTATCATCTTAAATGGAGTAATTGGATCAGGTTTGTTTATACCTTTTATTTTCTTGCGTATACAAAGAGGCTGTTTTTTCGACTCATTCTTACTATTTGCAAATGACATCTTTTTTGTGCTCTTTGGCTTACTTTTCTTTCCATATGTGCTAGGAAAAGTTTCTAATCGGTCGCGTTGCGTCATTTTGAAGTTGAAGAAATTATCTACATGATCTTCAACTTCATTCCAATTCAGCTGAAAATTTTGTGTGTTATTAAATTATTTGAGAGTATTTAATTTATCTTACTTACTGAATCAGATTGATTTAATTGAGTTTCAAAGTTCAAGCATTCCACCAAGTCCTCAAAAGTTATTCTATTTCTGCGCAGGTATTTCATCCACATTTTGTACTTTAAAGTAGTATAAGCATTTCGTACTACAGTCCGAAAGTAACTTCCCAAATTTTTAGACATCTTTGCTTGCCAAAAATTTTGAAAGAAAAAATTATAAAAATTTATAGTATTCTTCTTTTGGAACAATTTTGTTGATTCAAAAAAATAAAATCTATATTTTTTTTTGAATGTAAAAATATTTTAATTCTGCATAGTTTACTAAGTTGATGTAAGCATCTCTAAATATATAATTTATATTCTATGGTAGCATTTATTGTTAAGTTTATTATTAATGCATACCCAGAAGTAGCCAAATCATATGGATCTTCAGTCTAGTAAAAATTTCGAATCTAAACATTTTTTGATTTTTTTAAAAAGCTGACACTGTCTTTAATTAGGTTTTGACAGAAAAGTTTTCAGTGCATGAAACTGTTTAGAATTTAAAGTGTTTTTGTGAAAGAAGTTTTGAGTACTGCTGTGGTGGCTTCAAATGTCTAAAAAAGATCAAAGAAATTTCCATTTATGCTACCATATATGTGAGAAAAAGCCAAATTCCTCTTACTTAGAATCAGTGGAAAGGCTATAGAATTTCTTTACAATTTCTACTAAGGCTTGAAAGCTTAAAACTAGTAATTGGTACTAAAGTCAGTCAAACTTTTTTTCGTTTTTCTCACGGTGGCAACAGCTTATGTGTACTTTGTATTAAGGAGGACAACACTATGATACCTTTTCTATACTTTTGTCTTTCTCGATTCTGACCTTCTAAGCAATTTAAGTGTCAAATCCTAAACTCTTCTAAGCAGTTTATGCTTCAGTTTCACTTTCTGAGTACTACGTATCATTGGTATTATTGAGTTGAAATCTTTCACGATGGTTTTTGGAGCAAACAAAGGAAATGCAAATAAGTTCAAATATGATATCAACTATATAATGATTGAACAAAAACTGGTAAAGAAAGTGTATGTACGTCTTAATCTCAACGATAACAGCGTTATTGGTTCCTACAATGATGAGCTAAAGCTACCTTGTTGGACTTAATCCATGATCAAATTACAGGTATAAAACATATATTTATTTTTCTTATCTATCTTGGTGTTTTTTTTTCTTCTTATCATTAAAAAGAATCTTATAAGAAATCTTCTAAAGTATCTTTTACGGAATCTTCTATAAGATGCTGTATGTTCATTTCAAAATGTTTGCCGCCACTCGCTGTAGGCAGGTATATGCTCTTGTATATGAAATAGTGACAGTACACGCCTACGGAATAAATCTTAACCACTATGGTTCTTTGCTGTTCTTTGGGAGCTATCATTTTTTTATTGGGTGATCTTGTGCATCGTTTCGCAATTGTTGTATGATAATGTGATTTTTTTCTACTCTGCCGTCTTTAAAGGACTATATGTGTTGGTTGACTTCAATATAAATGCTCCAATATTTTTAATGCTTTTCAAGTTCATATAGCTCGTCTTCATATAGGTGGTACATAAACAACGTTTTGTATCGCTCTGTCATAATAAAAAGAATTAGGGGCATTAGTGTGCTTGTACTGCAATCGATAATCACGAAAGCTACCATGTCCACAAAGAAACTGTGGTACATGATAGTTAGGTTCTTAATTTTTGGTGCTAGTCCAAGGTTTATTTGATGGGACAAACATTGTTTCCACTAATACCTATATTTGAAGCCTGCGTCGGCTGACGCACTCTTGCTTTCTAAGATTTCGCACAGCAGTCGTCTCTTTCGTTGCAGCTCTATGGGGATGCAATTACGTTTATTGCTGTTTTGGATCTTTTGTGAAAGCCACAGTATAACTTTAAAAAGGCTAGTGCCGCTACAAATGAGCTTGTTCATATATAATTCGAGGTAGGTTATGTTATATCACATTCGTGCTCCATACATAACAACCCATGGTGGCACTGATAAAAGAAGTCTTATGCCTGCGTATCTTCAACTATCATTGTTTAGCATTAATTTTGGTATTACTGTGCCGATGCGAATGACTTTGTCCTTAAGTGATTTCATATGCTCTCTAAAATCAGGATATTGATTAATTTTAACTTCTAAATAATTAATGACATTGTTCTATTTATTCCTTTTCAGTATTCTAGGTATATGTACATACCCAGGTGTCTTGGAGTTATTTCTTTGTATCAACACCCAACACATTCGGGTGCGTACACCTAAAAATATGTTTTTTATTTTAATTGTTTCATAATGTTAGGGGTTTCTCTATGAACACACCCCCAGTGTATATTTGCATGTTTGCATGGATGTATATATATAAATTATCGGATGTTGACACTAAGGTTAAGAGTAATAAATTGTGCTATTGCAAAACCGTAATAATAAATATTTTTATTATTACGGCTATTTACATTTACATAAGTACGAATGTATGAAGCTTTTAATTAATTATATTATTGATTGTTTAAAAATAAACATCGTGCATATTTAAATTATGTAAATTAGCAGTTAAAACAATCAAAAAGATTTCAGTTCCAATCGCTTCGCCCTTAACACACTTCACTCAATGCTCACAAATTAGGTGCCTTGTTTATATTCCAAATCATTGCAATAACAATTTTTGATGGAAGTATCTGCGATGAACGTGCATCAGATTGCGTTTGAAAGCCGTTGGGCGCAATTTTAATAAATGCAAAAGTACAGATACAATTCAGAGATTTTATTAAAATTAAAAAAAATTTTATTAAAATTGAACAATATTATTATAATTTTAAATTTATTTAGTAGTAGTAGCAAACCAATTGTAGAAATGGTCTTAAAATAATTCTCTAAACAAACAAAAAAATAACAAAAAAAAAACAAATAATAAGGCCAAAAAATAAATTAAATTTCAACCAAACTATAAGTATGCCAAAAATTTGTATCTGTACATTTTGCATCTTATTTTTTTATCTGCGGAGCAGGTGTATCTAAGCTGTGCTACTGACGAACAGACTGTGAGGCATTTTTTGAATGGCGGCGCCATCAGGCAACTGGCATTATTCTTATTGTTGTAGTGTCAGTTGTTGCTGTTATTATTGTTGTTGTTGCTGTTGAATATTGTTGCTTACGTGCGCACGTGATTTGCATGTGAATTAAGTAAAAAAGATATTCAAGTTGATTTAATAAAAACAAAAAGAAAAAAAATACGAAAAGTAAGTTAACTTCAGGAAAACAGTAGCAGTAGAAGTAATGCTAACGCTAAAGTAAACTTAACTCAGCTCAGCTCGATTCGCCTCGACTTGGATTGAGGCACAAATTCTCAGATGTGCACAAATGCTAAAATAATAAATTGTTTCAAAATATTAGCATAACGTTTATTTGTTAGATATCAAATCGCATATAGACGATATTTTATTATAATAATAAAAGTCGAGTGACGACATCGTGTGGAGGCGTTAAAAATTGTCAACACTGCCAATTACGATAATCTGTTAAGCACGCATAAAAATATTTCAGTATTTTCTTCTTATTTAAAAACAATTTATGCTTAGCATTCTTCTTAGCATTTTGATATATTTTGATGGATTTTAATTGAAGTTTTTAGAAAATACTCTAATTATATGCTTAACAATAATAGTTAAAAAAACAATAGTTAAGTAGTAACGGTAAAGTGTCTCTAAAGGTTGTTATATACATATATATATGTATGATTATGTGAATGAACTATTTGCCTAACTATTAATTTTATTAATAAACACTGAAAGATAAAAATTCTAAAGTACACTCATTATCCCAAAAAAAGTATTATTGTAATGTATGCGTTTACGAGGGCTGCATATATATTTATGGCCTAATAATGAAAATGCGAATATTTATCATCAAAAATTGTTTTATTGTTTTTCAAAGTATTCTCCAGCCTGATTTATACACTTTTGCATGCGCTCAAACCAATTGTCGAAGCACTTTTTCCACTCCGATTGACACAACTCCAAAACATGGTTTTTGAACGCTTCAACAGCATCTTCTGGTGACGAAAATCGTTGGCCACACATTTTTTTCTTGATGTGCGGGAATAAAAAGAAGTCATTGGGTGTCAAGTCAGGAATGCACATCAAATGACGTTTTGGCCGGTCAAAAAGGCGTGGTTTGAGCCGATGTGTGAGTGTCATGGTAAACAATGATTCGTCTTCTCTTGTTCGTTTTTCGAATTTTTCCGAAGACTACAAGCAAACAGACATAATTCAGAATGTAAGTAAACAGTAAATAAGACTTCCTTTTTTAAAAAAGGCTTATGAGAATGTTTGAAATAAAAAATTTCCAAATTGTATCACTATCAATAACTATGATATAGATTGTGTTAAACGACTTCAGGACATAAACATATAAAACATATAGCATATAAAAAACATATAATATATATTAACATATGACATATAAAAAATGTAGCCAATAGACTAAATGACAACAAAATATAGACATTTGAGCTTCATGCTCTGGACAGCTTCTTAAAAATATACCAAATCGGTGATACCGAGAGAACAAACAGTCGGAGATCCGGCTTAGTTTTATAGGTTGAAGTTTTACACTTACATACCTTGGTTTTTAATTATTTTACATCTCGTTCATTAGCGCTGTTTTCTTTTTTTTTGTCTATGTAGTCTAATTAAGATAATACATTTTACTTCTATCAAAGGCATTTCGCTACCCTATATCTAGTTTCATTTACTCAGAGATGTTAAGCTACGCTGGGTCAGATTATATCATTAATTAACTTATTGTTCAATTTTTATGGCTTGCCAGATTAAACCAGCTCAACCTACTTAAATTTTATTGTGCAATTCAGCTTTTAAAAGACATAGTTTTTTGTTACCCAGATTAATTAGCGCCATGTTATGCAGAAAGTCATAAGCACGCCAAAATTAAAATTGTTGTTGCTATCAATAAAATTAAAAAATTGGAATTAAGAGAAACAACAAAATGTTGATTTAAGATTTGTCACGGTGACGAGGATTAGTGTACCTCGTCACGTTAGTCAAAACAGTGTTACAAAATAGTCATACATTTTAATATTTGTGCTTTTTAGGAGCAAATTATTACAATTTTAATATATTTAGGAGAAAGAATATCAGGAAGCAATACAGCCAAGTTAACAGACAGTAAGTAGGTGAAGTAGAAAGAAAACAAGAATGTAAGAAAGTAAACACTTTCCG